CCAACAAACCCTTCACTCAAGTCATCAAACAAGGAGATGATCGTGGACTTCAGGAAACAGCAGAGGGTGCACCCCCCTATCCACATCGACGGGACCGCAGTGGAGAAGGTGGAAAGCTTCAAGTTCCTTGGCGTACACATCACTGACAAACTGAAATGGTCCACCCACGCAGACAGTGTGGTGAAGAAGGCGCAACAGAGCCTCTTCAACCTCAGGAGGCTGAAGAAATTTGGCTTGGCACCTAAAACCCTCACAAACTTTTACAGATGCACAATTGAGAGCATCCTGGCGAGCTGTATCACCGCCTGGTACGGCAACTGCAACGCCCGCAACCGCAGGGCTCTCCAGAGGGTGGTGCGGTCAGCCGAATGCATTACCGGGGGCAAACTACCCGCACTCCAAGACACCTACAGCACCCGATATCACAGGAAGGCCAAAAAGAGCCACTGCCTGGTACGGCAACTACACCCGAGTCACTGCCTGTTCACCCCACTATCATCCAGAAGGCGAGGTCAGTACAGTTGAATCAAAGCTGGGACCGAGAGAATGAAAAACAGCTTCTATCTCAATGCCATCAGACTGTTAAATAGCCATCACTAGCACATTAGAGGCTGCTGCTGCCTATTGAAATCACTGGCCACTTTAAGAAATGGAACACTAGTCACTTTAATAATGTTTACATATCTTGCACTACTCATCTCATACAGTGGGGAAAAAAGTATTTAGTCAGCCACCAATTGTGCAAGTTCTCCCACTTAAAAAGATGAGAGAGGCCTGTAATTTTCATCATATGTACACGTCAACTATGACAGACAAATTGAGATTTTTTTTCTCCAGAAAATCACATTGTAGGATTTTTAATGAATTTATTTGCAAATTATGGTGGAAAATAAGTATTTGGTCACCTACAAACAAGCAAGATTTCTGGCTCTCACAGACCTGTAACTTCTTCTTTAAGAGGCCCTGCCTCCACTCGTTACTGTTAATGGCACCTGTTTGAACTTGTTATCAGTATAAAAGACACTTGTCCACAACCTCAAACAGTCACACTCCAAACTCCACTATGGCCAAGACCAAAGAGCTGTCAAAGGACACCAGAAACAAAATTGTAGACCTGCACCAGGCTGGGAAGACTGAATCTGCAATAGGTAAGCAGCTTGGTTTGAAGAAATCAACTGTGGGAGCAATTATTAGGAAATGGAAGACATACAAGACCACTGATAATCTCCCTCGATCTGGGGCTCCACGCAAGATCTCACCCCGTGGGGTCAAAATTATCACAAGAACAGTGAGCAAAAATCCCAGAACCACACGGGGGGACCTAGTGAATGACCTGCAGAGAGCTGGGACCAAAGTAACAAAGCCTACCATCAGTAACACACTACGCCGCCAGGGACTCAAATCCTGCAGTGCCAGACGTGTCCCCCTGCTTAAGCCAGTACATGTCCAGGCCCGTCTGAAGTTTGCTAGAGTGCATTTGGATGATCCAGAAGAGGATTGGGAGAATGTCATATGGTCAGATGAAACCAAAATAGAACTTTTTGGTCAAAACTCAACTCATCGTGTTTGGAGGACAAAGAATGCTGAGTTGCATCCAAAGAACACCATACCTACTGTGAAGCATGGGGGTGGAAACATCATGCTTTGGGGCTGTTTTTCTGCAAAGGGACCAGGACGACTGATCCGTGTAAAGGAAAGAATGAATGGGGCCATGTATCGTGAGATTTTGAGTGAAAACCTCCTTCCATCAGCAAGGGCATTGAAGATGAAACGTGGCTGGGTCTTTCAGTATGACAATGATCCCAAACACACCGCCAGGGCAACGAAGGAGTGGCTTCGTAAGAAGCATTTCAAGGTCCTGGAGTGGCCTGGCCAGTCTCCAGATCTCAACCCCATAGAAAACCTTTGGAGGGAGTTGAAAGTCCGTGTTGCCCAGCGACAGCCCCAAAACATCACTGCTCTAGAGGAGATCTGCATGGAGGAATGGGCCAAAATACCAGCAACAGTGTGTGAAAACCTTGTGAAGACTTACAGAAAACGTTTGACCTGTGTCATTGCCAACAAAGGGTATATAACAAAGTATTGAGAAACTTTTGTTATTGACCAAATACTTATTTTCCACCCTAATTTGCAAATAAATTCATAAAAAATCCTACAATGTGATTTTCTGGATTTTTTTTCCACATTTTGTCTGTCATAGTTGACGTGTACCTATGGTGAAAATTACAGGCCTCTCTCATCTTTTTAAGTGGGAGAACTTGCACAATTGGTGTCTGACTAAATACATTTACATTTTAGTCATTTAGCAGACGCTCTTATCCAGAGCGACGTACAGTTAATACTTTTTTTCCCCACTGTATGTTGTGAAATTGTTAGATATTACTTGTTAGATATTACTGAACTGTCAGAGCTAGAAGCACAAGCATTTCGCTACACCCGCAATAACATCTGCTAAACACGTGTATGTGACAAATAAAATTTGATTCGATTGGATTAGAATGATACTTACAGTTATTACAAAAAACGTTCTACTAAGCAAACATATGGAATTGTTTTAAGATTGTCATACCAAGGATCATTTAGCTATTTGATTTAGAATTTTATGACCCCTTTAGGTATCTTTTTCATTTCTTTTTTATTATTTGATGAAACATTGAATTTGGCATTACTGCTATTAGCCCATAGAAACGCATTGATTATCAGATTCATACATGGACAAACACATAGTCGAAAAATAAAAAAATTATAAGTTAGTTTTGTGTCTGGCCTATATCTGAGAGATATAAGAAAGATCAGGAAATTATTACATATATTTTTTGTCCATATTTAACCTTTTTTTTTTGCCACTAAACTACTTCCATACATTCTTCCATTAAATGTTTTAACTGGTACCGGGCTACCTTCCGACGAGTCTTGTGCGGCTTGTGGGCGCCCTAAATCAAAACGGAGAACACCATCGTGTTCGTGAGGTAATATTAGTTGCTTCATTTTATCGGGCGGACAAGTGTTTGAAAAAGGACATTGCACAATAACACCCAACTTTTCAAGCAAGATCCCAAAAAGGCCTATAGTTAGCAAACCGCAGAGGTGTTGCGATATGATTAGTACACCTCTCTACAAAACATTGTTCTCACCCCCTCCCATCGCACACCACAGCCCCCCCCCCCCCCCCCCCCCCCCCCTCCGTGGTCTACAGATGGAGATTGTTTTTCTTATTGCCTCTGTACACAAACTACACATAACACTGAGGCCTCGCACCAACTTCCCGCCACAAAGCGGACTCTGACCTTTCAACAAGCATCGTGTGTGTCACCTACCCCACCCCCGCCACTCTTCTGCAAGCCTCGCTTTACCCGCGCTGCAGAGTGAAAAGTACTCAGCAAGAACCCATAGATCTGGGGGTGTCAAAATGCCATCATGGCCAAAGCACCAAACAACGCATTCACTCGCTTTCTGTGAACAAACAAGCAGTTGTTGCGACACAAGCCTGAATTTCGCTTTGTTTCTCACCGTTCACATAAAGAGAGTGTTGCACAATGCCCTCCTGTACCAAAATATAAAGCATGAGTTAAGTTGTGCAAATACACTTCACAGGACCTGCTCATCTCAATGTGCTATGCAGCTACTACAGCATGCATTTTGTAATGTTGTAACAAGTAGATGTTTCGATCAGTTTCTATGATAAAAGGATGATTTTCCTTTTCAATTTTCCTTTCCTTTACATTCCCCTACGTAGATTGATACAAAGCATTTCATGTAACCGTGTGACATAAAATAGCTATCTACCTACTGTTTATGTTGTTTTGTATGTCACATAATATTTAAGTATGTGAAAGAAATCCACCAATGGTGGAAATGGGTATCATGCAGGAGATCTGACATTGTCAGGTGCCTGCCATGACCTTCTGCATGACAACACAGACAACCAATACTCTGTCTATGGCTACAAAATAAGATGTCCTATGACCTTTGCATTGTCATACTAACTCAGTTCATCCTTCTATTGCCATTTCTACTAATGCATTTTATTGACATTCACAAGGATCGTTTGACTCCATTATCCATTTACTACTCGATTTAAACATTTTTGTGACCTGACCTGCTTTCATGAGTTATCTATATTGGAAAACCATTATTTTAACATGTGTCAAAATTTTGTGTGTTCACCTTATGCCTTGATCACACAGACAGTGTCATTGCGCAAAATGGTACGCAGTATCATCTGGATATGTGTGCAACAAAAGTTCAACATTCACCTTCTGCTACCATTTCTGTCAAGCCGTCTACGCATACAGTTTGACGCATACGTTCGATAAATCCAACGTATGCACCACACAGAACGCACTGCAACTACCTCTCCAACGCAATGCTGCAAGGCAAACGCAGTGTTCCATTGGAAATGAATGTACTTCTGGTGTACCAAAATGCAATGACGCTGTTGGTGTGATCGAGGCGTTACTCTGCCAATCTGGTGCTTCAATTTGAGAAACCACCTGACATGTCAGTGTGAGCGTGCGTCTCTGTTCTAGCCTACTTTACTGGTGCTCGACTGAAACAGGATGCGGTGTATTCACTATTTATACCTTAACACATGAAGGTACCCAGGGGCCTAATGGGTTTTCTTGTATGCGTTGTAGAGCAGTGTTTCTCAATCCTGGTCCTAGGAAGGGCTGCAATTTTTTTTGTTTTGGACCAAGCACTAATGCACTTGATTGAACTAATCAACTCATCATCAAGCCTTTAATTTGAATCAGGTGTGTGAGTGCTAGGGCAAAAACAAAAATGTGCACCCCTTTGCGTCCCCAGGACCAGGGTTGATAAACACTTTTATAGAGAATGGTAATGATATATGTATTTTTTCTATCTTGAGTGTTCTGTGTGGCTTCCTGCAAGACACAGGCAAATGTCAGCCTTAGCGAAAGGTTGTGGTTACGTGTGTCACCATGAAATGTCATTGGGCACTTCAATCGAGAGGGAGAAAGAGAAAGAGGTAGAGAGAGCGATAGCGGTCGGGAGCAGGAGAGAATGATAGAGAGAGAGAGAGCATCAGAGAGAGGGAGCGATAGAGGCACAGAGAGAGAGAGTCATAAAGGGAGGACACACAGAGAGAGACGGTCATAAAGGGAGAGACACACACAGAGAGAGACAGACAGACAGAGACCTACCTGAGACAAAGGGACAGCGAGGAGAGAGCATCTGCAAAAGTCAAATAGTCAAAACAGAGCAAAGAAAGTAGGAGAATAGAATGAGGACTGTGCTGACTCTTCAACCCTGACTAAGTGGGTAAGTCTGAAGAGGTAGAGTACCTATTTGTTTTGCATGTGCATGAGCACGTACTCTCTGTAAGATTCAACTTAGATTTCAATTTTATTTAAAAAAGCCAAATTGTCATTATCACTGTATCATTCTTGTTATCATCTAGGTGTCAGCCGCATCAGTGAATGTAGTCATTTAAAACAAATCCTTAGGGCGGCAGGTAGCCTAGCGGTTAGAGAGTTGAGCCAGTAATGAAAAGGTCGCTGCTTCGAATACCCGAGCCAACAAGGTGAAAAATCTGTTGATGTGCCCTTGAGCAAGGCACTTAACCCTAATTTGAAAGTCTTTAGACTAGTTTAGTTTATCTCGTTTTTTAGTAGTCTATTGGTGCAAACAAACTAGAACATAAGCCTATTCAGGGGAGACAAGTGGTTAAGTTTCCTATCCGTGTTTGTTGTATTGCAGTCCCTGAGCGAGTAGTTTTGCTTTATGTTAACTGTGTGCGTTATAATGACATGCATCTGCACTTTCAGTGGAAGTAGTTTAATTAGTGTCATGGGCTACCCGCTGATTTGAGATGCCAGATGCATGGTGTCTGTGAGACCACTAACAATAGACAAGTCTCAAGTTAGGATGACACACTTTTATTACACATACACACTTTATTTTTATAGTCACTTTTATTCACTTTTTATAATAATGTTTGTGTTAACTAAATATATTATCAGCTCGGTTACAGTAACCGAATATGCCCCAAAATATAGTATAGGCATATACAATTACTATAGGTACAAAAGGTTTTCTCATTGAGAGTTCAACATTAGGTCATGCAGTATGCAACAGTCTATGGATGGATGTGTATTTTGTACAGATATCGCTTCCGCTGCTGCCTTTAAGTGCCTGCCACAACTCTTAATTTACTGCAGTCAAAGGTGATGACAGTGGGTAATAATGGTATTGGGCCTGTGATAGAAAGATTTCAGGACGTCCCTTATCAGTGTAATGTGTCTACTGCTGTTCTATGTAACTGTTATTCAGGATTGTGACTGTCTAAATGTTTCTGGTGTTGCCCATGCTCTGTTATAAAAGCCTCTTCATCTTTCCTTTTCCTCTTCGTCGTTTTACATTTAAACAGTGGCGGTAATGGCCAAGACAATTTCTTCATCTTCTTTTCTTCATCTATGTCATCTTTTGTTTTCCAGTTAGACAGTGGTGGTAATGATGTGGTCCATGCTTCACCTGCTGTTCCTGCTCTCTGTGCCACCAGGCTTCACTCACAACCTCCAAGGTAACTAGTGACTTCATGTTACTCTCAGCCTACTCATTCAGATAAGATCTGTGAAAGCCAAACAGTACTTGTACCTTGTGGAGAAACACAATTTATTGATTGTATTTATTCCCCCCAAAAATGTAAGTCAGATTTGTGAAGTTGGTGAGTTTGTGGATTTTAAAATGATGTGTTACTAGACAGTAATAATAGTTTTGGTTTGCCTTCGCTGTCTTTCCCTCCAAGGACTGTTTTGTGTGAATGACTACATCAACAACATCACCTGTGTGTGGAATAGCTCGGGAATAGATCCAGACGTGGCCTGCCAACTCCTCGGTACAAGAGAACACCGTAATGGCAAACTTCTGTAAGGAATATTTTTTGTTTGTCTTTATTATTACTGCAATACAGAAAATGACGGCATTGTGTTTTGAGGTATGAATGCATCCCTGTGTAATATGAAGAGTTTTACTTTTCATTTATTTTGTTTTGTATAGCCAGACTAGTTGCGATCTCAAACCCTTGGATAGGCCGGGGCAAGGTCATTCTTTCAGAGGCTGCAGTTTTGTCTTTGCGAGCCATGTAAGTTTTTACTGATATCATAATCAGAATTATATACAGTATGTTATTCTCTATATATGTTATTGTACATATGTTATTGTACATATCATTGTCATTGTTTTCTATAAATCTATCGATTCCTATTTTATTTTTCAAAAGTAAACTAAATATATAATGTGAAATATATTTTAATAAAACTTATTGTGAAAATTAGAATTAAAGTTATCTTTCCTAAGAATTCTTCTCCATGAATGTAGAACAGATGCAAGGGGTTCTTACTTTATTAAACAATCTGTTTTCGGACTGTGTTTCTCTACAGTATTTCAGTTCAGCCGAGCAGCTCCCCAGCATTAAGGTGGAGTGTAACAGGTCTGAGGTGGTAAACCTCCTAAAATACACACCTATCAAGCAAAGTGAGTGTCCACTTTTTCAGTGTTCTCTTTTGTCTAGTGTACCTGCGAGAGTATACTGAATTTATGTACCACTATCAATGTAAACGTTGCTTTGGGAAGCATCTGCTAAATGACAATATTATTAAGTCTTCAGGTTTCAGACAAGGTTACCTATCACCTGACCTTAGTTCACCAAACCGCCTTCTCTATACTTCCACTTCATGTTATTAGATGACTGTGACATCTCCCTCTGTTTCCTTACAGTTAAGATGCATCCTCCTGGTATCCCGGTCATCATCAATGGGACTAATGCCACCTGGAGTGCTGGTAGTCCGCTGTCTAAGAAGATCGATGAATATGTGTTCCAGGTGAAGGTGAAAAGGGAAGACCAGCTATGGAAGGTGAGTGAGACAGACAAACCATTGTGTGGGTGGATGTAAAAGTGTGTGGTATTGGCTGAACACGCAGTATTCCTGCTGAATGAGTTATAGTGAATGTGATTAGTGGGTAGTCATGCATAGTACTGTTGCCTGAGTATCTAGCTGTGATCTTTGGCTGATTCTTCACTTCCATAGATATCAAAGCATGATGTGTGTACATTTGAGTTACACACACTCATCTCAAATCAGGATTTCAGCCTAAATAGTTTGAGACAGTCTTGTAGCTTTGAAGTGATTATGCTTATTTTTGTCCATCTGTCTGTCTCTGTAAGGAAGCCCAGAGTTTGACCAGACTAAAGCAAGAACTGTGGATGGAGCTGGGTGTGGAGGAGAGTGGGATTCATCACATCAGGGTGAGAGTCAAGCCAACTTTACCCGCCTCTACCCACTGGAGTGACTGGAGCCCAACTGCCTCCTGGACATCAGAGGGCGAGGTCTCACCAACCTTTGGTATGTTTGATGCCATGCCACAAACTTAAACCTTACATCTACTATATGTTCAATCATGTAGACGACTCTCTATCCTATCCAGAGAAACTGACAGTCGGTGCATAGTGAAGTTCATGCGGCCCATACAGGAATAAAACTCATTTGCTGGTCTACAAAATTGTGTTAACAACCCGTGTTAAATGCATTAAATGCATCCAGAAGTATTTCTGAGACCTATATTCCAACCGTACTCCCGTTCTCTGGTGTTTCAGTGAAGTCCCCGGACCTGACTTTGTGGCTGGTGTTGAGTAGTGTGTTTTTCACTCTCATCGTTGTCATGTTGCTTGTCTTCTACAAAACTCACACAAACAATAGGTGAGTAATGCGTGAAGGTGGATTATATGCATGCATGTATGTATTGTTGGGTCAGATCAGGAGTGACACCTACGAACTTTGGCTCAGTGAGTTAATTTGGTCTTGTGTCATGTTGATGACATGGACTTGATTTTATCATTGGTTACATAATCCAATATGAAGCAAAATGTGCAGTCAGGACCTTAGGTCTGTTTGGGTATGTAGTGTCAAGTTAATTCTGGGACAGACCCAAAATGGCTTATTAAAATCCATGTTGTTTTGGTGCTCTACAGGAAACACCAGTATGTGCCTGACCCCGCCAAGTACTTCCAGCCATTTAACTCTGTCCACGGTGGAAACTTTCAGGTACCTGGAAAATACTCCAACTTCCTGCTAAACTTGAAACCTGTTGAACCAATACAAGTATGTGTATGTGGCTTTATTCACTAGCGTGGCAACAGAATGAAAAATAGTTTTCTTGATATGAAAACCTAGTGGACGGCCTAATATAGTATTCTGGAAGCTGGTTGAGTGGATATGTCTGCATTTATGTCCTTATTTAACTTGAGTTACTACTTACTTACATTTGATGCTTACAGTTGGGAACAATCTCTTTAGTTGCCAGTAAAAGGAAAGTGCCCAGCCACAGTAAAAACCCAAGGGAAACATTAGTCATCAGCACAGGCCCCTTGGTGTGGTTTCTCTGTTGGTTTGAATTCCTTGCAGTAACAGTTAGATGCAGACATAGACACGCTCTCTCTACCACACGCACACATTAACACACCAATAAACTCACATATGCACTCATTTTAGACTTACGAATAAGCACACAGACACACACACACTGATCTTGCAGTAACTTTCTAAACTTGATACTTGCCGGTGTAGATGCAGTAAAATAGTTATCCTTTGTCATTTTGCGTAAGTCTCAGCATAACATTCCATTTCACCAAATTGAATGTGGTTCCAATTTCACCAATAACTGTAGCACAATACATTTCAGTGTTACAGTTATTGGTGAAATTGAATGTTACGCTGAGACTTAGGCAAAATGACAAAGGATAACTATTTTACTGCATCTACACTGGCAAGTATTACAGTTATTGGTGAAATTGAATGTGTTACAGTTACTGGTGCTGCGTATACTGACGTGTGTCTCTGGTCCTCCCCATGCAGAAATGGCTGAGCCCCTTGTTTTCTCCAGAGTCCTTCATCACCTCCCAGCCCAGCGAGGACATCTCCCCCGTGGAGGTGTCTGGAACAGAAGTCTCGGACGTCACCGACTCCACCAGCTCCACCACCGCAGCCTTCCTCCTACACTCTGACCCCAATACCCCCTCTGATGGCTGGAACAGCAGCGGCCAGTCCTCCTGCTTCTCCAACATCGGCTACTTCTACCACAACTACCCCAGCAGCCTCCGCATCGAGTCTTGCCCCGTCTACTTCATCTACCCGGGGGACCACAGCTCCCTCTCCCCCACCACCACCTCCTCCTCCTATGAGCGCCTGGAGCGTCTCCATCAGCTGCAGAGGGAGCCCCAGAGCCCAGACTCTGGGTTCGGCATGGGTGTAGAGTGGGAGGACCAGGTGCTGGAGGAAGGAAAGGGTAAGAAGGAAATGGATGTGGTTCCAGTTGACCATCATTCACCCCCTCCTCTTGTCCTACCAGTCTCCCTGCCTGCTCGTATCCCTCCAGGCCCTCACCATCCCCTGAGTCTCCCCCAACTCCCACTTCATAATCCTGAGTCAAACTCTGCCATGGCGCCTAGTGGCAGTTACAATGCCTGGCCAGTAGAGGCTGTTCTAGGCAGATCCTCCTCAATGACAGTGGAACCCACTTGTAGTGGCTATTTGACCATTAAAGAGCTGCAGAATACCTACAGCAACAAGTCCATTTGAACAATCAATTTTTCACTCAATTTACATTTTAGTTAAGCTGTTGAACTTATTCTTTGTGCAAACTATGACACAAGGCTCAGATAATGCAGGTAAAAAATGCCAACTAATGATTTTTACAAGGAAAGTATGGTAGTTCTAAATATGTAGCTTATTCGTATTTTATATACATTTTATATATTACTTGTATTACTATTGAGGCAGCAGGTTTGCCAATGCATTGTTACTTTATCTCAGATAGTTAGTGCTGCTAGTTGTATTTGTCTTTAAATGCATTCACTGACAGCTTGTTTGTAGAAAGACCTGAATAAAACCTCTGACAGAAGAGAAGTGGGTCAGCCTTAAACTTCCTGTGTTTGTGGGCTTAGGTAGTGGCGAGGAGTGGGCAAGTGGTCCTGCTGTGTGTGTATTTTGTTTTATTTTTTATTTCACCTTTATTTAACCAGGTAAGCCAGTTGAGGACAAGTTCTCATTTACAACTGCGACCTGGCCAAGATAAAGCAAAGCAGTGCGGAAAAAACAACAACAACACAGAGTTACATATGGAATAAACAAAACGTACAGTCAATAACACAATAGAAAATCTATATACAGTGTGTGCAAATGTAGTAAGTTATGGAGGTAAGGCAATAAATAGGCCATAGTGCAAAATAATTACAATTATAATTTAGTATTAACACTGGAGTGATAGATGTGCAGAAGATGATGTGCAAATAGAGATACTGGGGTGAAAATTAGCAAAATAAATAACAATGTAAATAACAATATGGGGATGAGGTAGTTGGGTGGGCTAATTACAGATGGGCTGTGTACAGGTACAGTGATCGGTAAGCTGCTCTGACAACTGATGCTTAAAGATAGTGAGGGAGATAAGTGTCTTCAGCTTCAGAGATTTTTGCAGTTCGTTCCAGTCATTTGCAGCAGAGAACTGGAAGGAATGGCGGCCAAAGGAGGTGTTGACTTTGGTGATGACCAGTGAGGTATACCTGCTGGAACGCATACTACAGGTGGGTGTTGCTATGGTGACCAATGAGCTAAGATAAGGCGGGTATTTGCCTAGAAGGGATTTATAGATGACCTGGAGCCAGTGGGTTTGGTGACGAATATGTAGTGAGGGCCAGCCAACGAGAGCGTACAGGTCACAATGGTGGGTAGTATATGGGGCTTTGGTGACAAAACGGATGGCACTGTGATAGACTACATCCAATTTGCTGAGTAGAGTGTTGGAGGCTATTTTGTAAATGACATCGCCAAAGTCAAGGATCAGTAGTATAGTCAGTTTTACGAGGGCATGTTTAGCAGCATGAGTGAAGGAGGCTTTGTTGTGAAATAGGAAGCCGATTCTAGATTTAACTTTGGATTGGAGATGCTTAATGTGAGTCTGGAAGGAGAGTTTACAGTCTAACCAGACACCTAGGTATTTGTAGTTGTCCACATATTCTAAGTCAGAGTCGCCGAGAGTAGTGATTCTAGTCGGGCAGGCGGGTGCAAGCAGTGTTCGATTGAAGAGCATGCATTTAGTTTTACTAGTGTTTAAGAGTAGTTGGAGGCTACGGAAGGAGTGTTGTTTGGCATTGAAGCTCGTTTGGAGGTTTGTTAACACAGTGTCCAATGAAGGGCCAGATGTATACAAAATGGTGTTGTCTGCGTAGAGGTGGATATGAGAGTCACCAGCAGCAAAAGCGACATCATTGATATACACAGAGAAAAGAGTCGGCCCAAGAATTGAACCCTGTGACACCCCCATAGAGACTGCCATAGGTCCAGACAACAGGCCCTCCGATTTGACACATTGAACTCTATCTGAGAAGTAGTTGGTGAACCAGGCGAGGCAGTCATTTGAGAAACCAAGGCTATTTAGTCTGCCAATAATGTATGTATGTGTGTGTTCGTGTATGCGTGTGTTTGCGTGCATCAGTGGCGGTCGTGCCGTTTAAGATGAGGAAGGACCATTGTTATTTTTTTAATGATTATTGCCTTATTTCTATTACAGCATATTGGATGATTGTCATTCATATTCCATTAACCCAGTTCAATGTAACATCGATAGGTTTAGGCTACTACATGATACTCAACTTTTCCCTATACCCATCATGAGGTTGTTACAACCTAGCCTATGAATGAAAGTTTACAACGTAGGTGCACAAAGGTTGAGAGAAACATTTGAGATGACAGACAGTGACACATTGACAGACAGTGACACATTCAATCCTGCCTTGCACACTCTTGCCTGCCTCTAGCTGATCTAGGGTGTAGTCATTAGTCCAACAGTTGCAAATTAGAGTTTCTATTGGACAAATTCAGGTATTGTTATTCCTGTTTTGTTCCGTTTGCTTCCGTTTAAGATTTTTTTTCAACAGAATCGGTGGAATGAATACACCCGTGATCACGTGTAAACACAGTTCACTTTCATAGCAGCCACGTTGTATTCCTTCTCGCATCTATGCGCTCTCTTCCTATCTCCTTTTCCCTTCGCTTTTGGACTTCAATGCACAACACATCAGCTGTATGTGACCAGGCGAAAAAAACTTTGCAAGCCAAACCATCTCATAACCGCTACACATAGCCTACATCATTGTCACCATATTAGCTAAAGTAACGTCATAGTCAACATAGCTAATAGAACTAGCTAATGCATTAGTAAACCCGATACAATCATGCAGTAACGTTACAGTGTACAGTCAGTAAGCAGTTTATAACTTACACCGGTGGGCCCCAGTGGCAATACATTTGTAAAACCAAAAGCTTACCTTGAATTGGAAGTGTTCCAAAGTTGTGTTGGATAGTCATAGCGAGCTAGCTAACATAGCATCCCTCTGTTTGAGCCGGGTGTTTGAGTAGGCTATACTAGCTAGCTGCATTTGCTAGCTAAGTAAGTGAAGCTGAAAGTGAAAAAACAATGACAATCTCTCTCTATCTCTCTTGCTTCTCCTTCATTTTGGAATAAATTAATTTGTTCAAAACTGTTCAACTATTGTCTTTCTCTCTCTTTGAGTCAACTACTCACCACATTTTATGCACTGCAGTGCTAGCTAGCTGTAGGTTATGCTTTCAGTACTAAATTCATTCTCTGATCCTTTGATTGGGTGGACAACATGTCAGTTGATGCTGCAAGAGCTCTGATAGGTTGTAGGACATCCTCCGGAAGTTGTCATAATTACTGTGTAAGTCTATGGAAGGGGATGAGGACCATGAGCCTCCTAGGTTTTGTATTGAAGTCAATGTACCCAGAGGAGGATGGAAGCTAGCTGTCCTCCGTCTACACTGTGGTGCTACCCTACAGAGTGCTGTTGAGGCTACTGTAGACCTTCATTGCAACACAATGTGTTTTAATCTATTAGTTTGTGATGTGAATATATTTAGTATAGTTTTATTAAAAAATATAACTTTTGAAATGTTTTACCATTTCTTAAAATGAAATTCACTGAGGAGGATGGTCCTCCCTTTCCTCCTCTAAGGAGCCTCCACTGGTGTGTATGTGTGTGTATGTGTGTGCGTGTGAGTTGTGTGGGGGAGGGGTTCTGATTTGAGAGTGTATTTGTGTAACTGATCTAAGGGTGGATGTGGCTTATGAAAGTTGGGGTGTGAAATTAGGTCTGTTTGTGTGTGTAAACATGTCCTGTCAGGTGTGTGAGTGTATTAGTATGTGGTCTGACATTTAACTGTGACACAATGTCCCCACCGCTGACTTTTGCTCTCTTGAAAAAGTTGTTTTACTTGTTACAAGGCATTGCTTTGATGAAAATAAAAATGCATTTGAGCTTGGGGGGGGGGGGGCAATGAATGAACTGAGAGGGAAGCACGCAGGGCATTCTATGCCATTAAAGAACTAATTCAAATTGAAATACCTAAAATGTGGCTAAAGCTAATTGAATATGTAATTGAACCAATTGCACTTTTATTTTTTTATTTTATTTTATTTCACCTTTATTTAACCAGGTAAGCCAGTTGAGAACAAGTTCTCATTTACAACTGCGACCTGGCCAAGATAAAGCAAAGCAGTGCGATAAAAACAACAACACAGAGTTACATAAGGGGTAAAACAAAACATAAAGTCAAAAATACAACAGAAAATATATATACAGTGTGTGCAAATGTAGTAAGTTATGGAGGTAAGGCAATAAATAGGCTATAGTGCAAAATAATTACAATTAGTATTAACACTGGAATGATAGATGTGCAAGAGATGATGTGCAAATAGAGATACTGGGGTGCAAATGAGCAAAATAAATAACAATATGGGGATGAGGTAGTTGGGTGGGCTAATTTCAGATGGGCTGTGTACAGGTGCAGTGATCGGTAAGGTACTCTGACAACTGATGCTTAAAGTTAGTGAGGGAGTTAAGAGTCTCCAGCTTCAGAGATTTTTGCAATTCGTTCCAGTCATTGGCAGCAGAGAACTGGAAGGAATGGCGGGCAAGTTGCAGCGGCGGGTGCAGAGCTGGTGGCCAGGGTAGTGGTGTCCAGGTGGAAAGCATGGTCAGCCGTAGCAAAATGCTTGTTGAAATTCTCGATTATTGTAGATTTATCGGGGGTGATAGTGTTTCCTAGCCTCAGTGCAGTGGGCAGCTGGGAGGAGGTCAATAACACAAATATAAAATCTTTATACAGTGTGTGCAAATGTAGTAAGTTATGGAGGTAAGGCAATAAATAGGCCATAGTGCAAAATAATTACATTTATGACAGAGAGGTGTGGGGTCCACTTGCAAAACAAGATTTCACCCAATGGGACAAACACCCCATTGAAACCCTTCTTGCAGAGTTCTGTAAGATTCTCCTACATATCCAGAGGAAAACTACAAGCAATGCATGCAAGGCAGAATTAGGCCAATATCCACTAATAATAACAACTCAAAAAAGAGCAATTACGTTTTTAAAACATCTAAAATACAGTGACCCCCTCTCATATCATTACCAAGCCCTGCAATGCCAAGAGCTGAGCAAAGAAAAGTCCCCTCATCCAACTGGTCCTGGGGCTGAGTTCACAAACCTGTTCTACTAAC